AATAGGTAGCAAAGTGTTTTATATATATATGTGGGTGTGTGTGTATATATATAATCTTATTATCCGCTCTAAAATTTCCTCCTTTTGTTGTTTTTCATTAACTTAAATTTACCTGCTTACTGACATATTGCAGTTGCTAAAGGACTTTTTGCCAAGCTGTACTGTTTGAACATCATTCTGCATAGAAAATTCAGTCTTGTGTTAAACAAAAGGAAAGTAATAAATTTAATGACACAATTTAATTAATCTTTTATTATTACCGTCTTTGAAGCTTTGGTGATAAATTGCAGCCTCAGTCAAAAGCACTTCTCGTGATTCATTGCTTGAGACCAGCACTTAATGTATCATCAAAAGTGGACACCTTTCTTTATTTCATGGGTTATTTAACTTGAGAAAGGGAAAGTAACACAAACCTTACATTTCTTACTCCAGCTATTCTTTCTTAGGAGCCAAAGTCAACATTTATGTTTCCCCAGTGCCTCTCACTTTCACCAAGGAATGTTTAGAATCTTAAATTTCTACTTTATAATGACAAGTTCTGTGCAAATGCACTGGTTTTGTTGAGCTAATGCTGTTTTCCTGGATCTTTCCTTCTCTTCCTGTCTGTGCTTCACTCCCTTCCAACTTTGCAATGTAGCAAGCTGAACAGTTGTTCAATCAGATGTACAATCCAGTAAGTTCTCCTTTAAAATGCCCGCTGTAACATATGAAAGCATGAGGATCCATTACCTTACTGTGTCGTGCCCTTCCTCTGTGGAGCTTTGCCGAATACTTCTGATGCTCACTATGCTGTATTCATTGTATCTAAATAAATGAACTTTGTGGACTTCAAGGCCATTTTTAAAATATGAAATGTGTTAAATAGGTACATATAGATTCTGACTCTGAGAAAACAAACATCCTAGCCTTTGGGTCCTCAACTTCTCCGTTAGAAAAAGCATGCAGATGGTTTCTTTTTTTGCTTTGCTTTGCTTTTTAGTTCCTCCTTCTGCAGTACTTTATTTGATCCTTCAAACTTAGATAACTTTTATTCAGTTAATCTTAAGTGACTGAGCTGATTATGCAAATAATAACTAGGAAGTGACTAGTACTGTTCTCAAAAGTGCATATGATTAAAATTATTCCGATCAGTTTTACTCATAAAAGGCTGTATCTATTCAGCATATACACATTAAGAATATGGAAGTAATCCTATCTAATCAAAGAAAGCGCTGAGATACAAAATGATGAACACAAAAATCAGTTTTTAAAAAGCCAAACAGCATTACTTGGGCTTTTTAAGCATTATTATTCTTCCCAAAATCTGATTTAATTGCACAATATCTACCCCTTTGACTTGTCTGTGTCCTTTTTCAATTTGAGGAAGAGCAGTAACAACCATTCTCTCTGCAGAGAACAGTTTCCATTTTTTTCGCTGCAACTGTTACATTTAATGTGCTGTGAGCATCACAGTACGGAACAAATGATGTAACTGTAATAGCAATTTACAAGCTGTAGTTTACTTAGTAATCATAGTTAGCACATATAGAAGAACTTGTTTTGTAGTTCAGGTAATGTGATGCTATGCATTAGGGAAGGTATTTTCTTGAGTGAATGTTCATGGACCAGGATTCCAGCTTTGGAGTCTATTAGTGCTAAGATGTGTAACTTCTAACTGTGTAATAGATAATGTCATGCCCTATGTATTGGAAAGAGAGCTGCACAGAATGTGCAGTATTTACTTTTAAAGTTACCGGTTAACTGGTTTTAGAATCCAGTTATAAATTGATTATAAGTAGCATAAGCCCCTGATGTTATCACCTCTACCATCCAGCGCGCTGATGGTCAAAGAGCTTTTCCCTTTGAACACTAAACCCCTTTTTTCTATGTCATCTTGGCTCCCCTTTGTGGTAGTTATGTTTCTGTTTGTATCATTCGCATTCCTACTATGCGTGTCTTTTCAGAATAGAGTCTTTTTTGTCTTAGTTTTTATCTTGATTTTCATAAGTGCTTTTCGTTCCTTATTTCAATATTAGTTATTCTGCTGTATGGAATTCGTTTATTACTTCCTAGTCTTTTTGTGTGCAGTATTCTGAAGTCAGTCAGTCTTTTTTTATTTTTTATTTTCTCTGCCTTTAAGGGCTTAATTTTCAAAAGGCCAGCGTGTTGGCAGTTCCAAAATAATGGATGCAAGTTCCGTTTCCTTTGGCACCAGGCAGCAATTGCTTATGTCCATGAGGCAGGTTCTGTTAAATAAACTTTTCCTGTTCATCTTTTTTCTCCTGTTTATATATATCTCAGCCTACTTTTAACCATGTAAGTAGCAATGTTCCTCTGCTCCCTCAAAACCACCTGAGATCTTGAAATGAAATTGTGGTTTGATTGAAGTCAGTGGCAACATATTCTTTGAATTCTGCAAGGCCAAGATTTCACCTTTGTTCTTAGAGATGGCATAAGAGCAGTTACTTGAAACGTTAATAACTACAGATCATCATGATGCTTTATTTAATAGAATGTTTCCTTGATCTTTGTTGAGAATTAGTGTTACAAACCCCCAGATTACACTCTATTCTTTAAATACTGAGGTTTGAATGCTTTTCTGTTCACATCTGTCAGAGAAATAAGTCAATCTCTGAGTAGACCTCTTTTATGTCCTACAGGTGTCAACTCCAAGACTTTCATTTATTGCTGAATCTAATGTTTTTAAAACACAGCAACAGATAGAAAGTCTTAAAATAATGAGACTACAAAAAAATGAAGCTTACAGCATTTAGTTTTATTTATTTTAGTTTATTAGTGAAATTAAAATTTGAAGGATCTTACAAAGTAATTTCTTGCATGTAAATTCTGCTGGTTTTATTTTTTTCCTTTTATGAAATACTCGGTTGATTTCTGTGTATGTTTGTGTCTGAAGCTTTAAAAATGAAATACTATATCCATCCCTTTCTGTTATGCAGAATAATGTGTGCATGATTGTATATAATGAAATAATTCATGTTGCATGTCTGTGCCATACTATTATGATGTTTCTGTAGGAAATTTGTGGTTTACATATGGAAATGTTACTTTACTTCTGAAGTATTTGTAGTACTTGTTAAGCAAATATCAGAACAGATATGTAATCACTGTAAAAATTAGTGAGATTCTAATGGTAGAGTGATATGCTATTTTTATTCAATTGTAAAAATAACATACAACATAGTCGCAAGACTGACAGACAAACTTCATAAACCAACTGTGCTAGTTTGAAACTAGCTTAATCTGCACACACCAGTATTATAATTTACAGATAGATTAAGAGATCAATTACTTTGCTGCTGAAAGGTATGCATGAACCTGTCACTCTTATCCATAGAAATGCCTTAAAAACAGAAAATGTATTCTTTCCAAGAAAGCAGAGAACTTAGGGAGGAAAAAGGGAAGAAATGATAAAAAGGACAGAGGAGTGACAGCAGTAATAGGCAGAGACGCTCTGATTCTTGTGATAACCATGCAGCTTCTGGCTAGAAGTGACCCAAGCCTGTCTCCCACAGCCTGCCTGCAAAACACGCCAAAGAAATCTGCCCTGTCTGGGTGGGAGCAGGGTCAATATCTGCTGAGCTGCCTTTCATCTCCTTTGGGCCTACTGTTTGACCTCAGAAGTCAAGTTCCATCTGTCAACAAATCACCCCTGATCTGTATATAACAATTAAAAAAAAGTGCCTAGTTCAAATTCAAACACATCTTTCAAAGCCATAAAATATAATAGGGCTTTTATAAGTAATTCTGTGCCTTTGTCTTGGGAATGTCAGATGGATTGTGCTTTTCTCTCTTGTAGTATCAGCAGCTTTGTTTACAACATGAGGATTCCCTTAAAGGGAGTACCACCTGCAGAAAGCTCTTTTAAAAAATGTTAAATGTTCTATCTCTCTTTTTATCTAACTTTCCTTTCCTTGCATTAAGGCAATGCCCTTGAAGAAATCTGATTCCTGCCCACAGTCAAAAGATATTCTATAGGAAATACATGTGAAACTAGAGGCAACTAAATTAATTGCTGGTTTGTAATACCGAGATACTGGGAATTTTTTATTTTTTAAGATTAGATTCATCTTATACCTGTCCTTGAACTGAATGTTTATATTGATTTATATGCGATATTATAGGTAACTGTGCTGCACCTGAAAACTCTGTATAGGTTGGATACTTAATCACATTTTATTTAATTGTACCTTGTAAGTTTTGCTTTGTATTGAAAACCAGAGGGAAATACAGTAACCAAGTTTGTGCTATAGAATTTTCCAAAAACACATCCCACAAATATGGAATGACACGAGTATCACAGAAAACACAAGAATTGAAAATACTTCTGCAACGTAACGTTAATTTCCTAAGCATGCTATAGAGCAAGGATTATAGGGCTAAACTGAATAATATATTTTGTATCTATTATAGCAGGTGATGTTTTAGTTATAAGCCATGCAGTAGATAGTTTGTTCAGTGCATTTCTGATCTGCTGCATGAGAGGAATGTTCTGTGATAGCTGAACATTTGGCACCTTTGCACTGGGGAAAAAAAAACTTTGGGCTGAAGCTGGGAGTTGAAGACGACTGGTTAGAGGCAGGAAGATGGGTGTTTTGCTTATGAAATGATGGAAGCAAGTCTGGTAAGTGAGTGAATTAGACACTAAAATAAACAGAAGGGA